AACATTATTAAAGACATTTATACAAAGCCAAGAGCCAGCATCATCCTAAATGAAGAGAGTCTGAAAGCATTGCCCTTGAGAGCAGGAGCTAGCCACGGATGCCCTTTATCACCACTCTTATTCAACCTTGTGCTGGAGGTCCTAGCCAGAGCAGTTAGACTAGAAAAAGAAATAAAGGGCATGTAAATTGGTAAGGAAGAAATTAAAGTATCTCTATTTGCAGATGATATGATCTTATACACAGAAAACCCCAAAGAATCCACAAGAAAACTACTGGAACTAATAGAAGATTTCTGCAAAGTATGAGGATAAAAGATAAACATACAAAAATCAGTTGGATTCCTCTACACCAACAAAGAGAACTTCGAAGAGGAAATCACCAAATCAATACCATTAACAATAAGCCCCCCCAGGAAGATGGAATACTTAGGCATAAATCTAACCAGAGACGTAAAAGACCTATATAAAAAAACTACAAGACACTGCTGCAAGAAACCAAAAGAGAGCTGTATAAGTGGAAAAACATACCTTGCTCATGGATAGGTAGACTCAACCTTGTGAAAATGTCTATTCTACCCAAAGCGATCTACAGATACAATGCAATCCAGATCCAAATTCCAATGGCATTTTTTAATGAGGTGGAGAAACAAATTACCAACTTCATGGAAAGGGAAGAGGCCCCGGATAAGTAAAGCATTACTGAAGAAGAAGAACAAAGTGGGAGGCGCCACACTACCTGATTTTAGAACCTACTATACTACCATGTTATTCAAAACAGGCTGGTACTGGTACAACAACAGATACATAGACAAGTGGAATAGCATTCAGAATCCAGACATAAATTCATCCACCTTTGAGCAGCTGCTATTTGACAAAGGCCCAAAGTCTGTTAGTTGGGGAAGAGACAGTCTCTTTAACAAATGATGCTGGACTAACTGGATACCCATCTGCAGAAAAATGAAACAAAAACCATACCTCATACCATGCACAAAAACTAACTCAAAATGGATCAAAGACCTAAGCATAAAATCGAAAACAATAAAGATCATGGAAGAAAAAATAGGGCCAACGTTTGGAGCCCGAATACATGGCATAAACAGAATACAAAAGATCATTAACAATGCACAAACACCAGAAGAGAAACTAGATAACTGGGAGCTCTTAAAAATCAAAACACTTAATGCTCATCAAAAGACTTCACCAAAAGAGTAAAAAGATAACCTACAGACCGGGAAAAAGATTTTGGCTATGACAAATCCAATCAGCATCTAATCTCTAAAATCTACAAGATACTGCAAAACCTTAACAACAAAAAGACAAATAACCCAATTAAAAAATGGGCTATGGATATGAACAGGCACTTCACCAAGGAAGACATTCAGGCGGCTAATAAACATATGAGGAAATGCTCACAATCATTAGCCATTAAGAGAAATGGAAATCAAAACTACAATGAGATACCGTCTCACCCCAAGAGGCTAGCATTAATCAAAAAAACACAAAATAATAAATGTTGGAGAGGTTGTGGAGAGACTGGAACACTTGTTTACTGCTGGTGGGAATGTAAAATGGTACAACCACTTTGGAAATCGATTTGGTTCTTCCTTAAAAAGCTAGAAATAGAAGTACCATACGATCCAGCAATCCTGTTGCTTGGAATATATCCTAGAGAAATAAGAGACGTCACACGAATAGATACATGCATACCCATGTTCATTGCCTCTCTGTTCACGATTGCAAAATGATGGAAACAACCTAGGTGCTCATCAGTGGATGAATGGATAAATTATAGTATATTCACACAGTGGAATACTGTGTAATGATAAGGAACAACGATGAATTTGCGAAACATGGATGAATCTGGAGGGCGTGGTGACTGAAATTATTCAGTTGCAAAAAGACGAACATTATATGAGACTACTATTATAAGAACTCAAAGGTTTAAACACAGAAGAAACCATTCTTTGATGGTTACAAGGGTGGGGAGGGAGGGAAAGGGGTATTCACTAACTAGATAGTAGACAAGACTTAGGTGAAGGGAAGGAAACACACACTACAGGGGAAATCAGCACAACTAGACTAAACCAAAAGCTAAGAAGTTTCCTGAATTACAGCCAGCCACTTCAAGAGACAGAGTAGCAGGGGTGGAGATCTGGGGACCGTGGTTTCAGGGGACATCTAGGTCAGTTGGTGTAACAAACTTTATTAAGAAAATGTTTTGCATCCCACTTTGGTGAGTGGCGTCTGGGGTCTTAAAAGCTAGCGAGTGGCCATCTAAGACACATCAGTTGGTCCCAACCCACCTGGAGCAGAGGAGAATGAAGAACACCAAAGAGACAAGGAAAATATAGCTCAAGAGACAAAAAGGGCGACATAAACCAGGGACTCCATCAGCCTGAGACCAGAAGAGCTAGTTGGTGCCCGGCTACCACCAATGACCGCCCTGACAGGGAACCCAACAGAAAGTCCTTGACGGAACAGGATGTGTAGTGGGGTGCAGAACTCAAATTCTAGTAAAAAGACCAGACTTAATCGTCTGACTGAGACTGGAGGTACCCTGGAAGACATAGTCCCCGGACTGTCCGTTAGTCCAAAACTGAAACCATTCCCAAAGCCAACTCCTCAGACAAAGATTAGGCTGGACTATGGGACATAAAATGATACTCATGAAGAGAGTACTTTTTAGCTCAAGTAGATACATGAGACTAAATGGGCAGCTCCTGTCAGGAGGTGAGATGAGAAGGCAAAAAGGGATAGGAACTGGTTGAATGTACACGGGAAATATGGGATGGAGATGGAAAGGAGGAGTGTGCTGTCACATTATAGGGAGAGGAGCTAGGGTCGCATAGCAATGTGTGTATAAATTTTTTTTTTTATTGTAGTTTAGATGAAGTTTACATTTCAAGTTAGTGTCCCATACAAAAATTTATACATACATTGTTATGTGACCCTAATTGCTGTCCCCATACTGTGACAGCACACTCCTCCTTTCCACCCGGTTCCCCATGTCCATTCAACCAGTTCCTGACCCTCTCTGCCTTCCCATCTCACCTCCGGACGGAAGCTGCCCGTTTAGTCTTTTGTATCTACCTGAGCCAAGAGGCACAGTCCATACGAGTCTTTTGTATCTACCTGAGCCAAGAGGCACAGTCCGTACGAGTATCCCTTTATGTTCCACAGTCCAGTCCAATCCCTGTTTGAAGAGTTGGCCTCGGAAATTGTTTTAGTTCTGGGCTGGTAGAGAAGCCAGGGGCCATGCTTTCTGGGGTTCCTCCAGTCTCAGTCAAACCATTAAGTCTGGTCTTCTTACTAGAATTTGAGTTCTGCACCCCGCCTTTCTCCTACTCCATCAGGGACTCTCTGTTGTGTTCCCTGTCAGGGCGGTTATTGGTGGTAGCCGGGCACCATCTAGTTCTTCTGGTCTCAGGCTGATGAAGTCTCTGGTTTATGTGGCCCTTTCTGTCTCTTGGGCTACTGCTTTCCTTGTGTCTTTGGTGTTCTTCATTCTCCTTTGCTCCAGGTGGTTGGGACCAATTGATGCATCTTAGATGGCTGCTTGCAAGCATTTAAGACCCCAGACGCCATTCACCAAAGTAGGATGCAGAACAACAATGTGTGTATAAGTTTCTGTATGAGAAACTGACTTGAACTGTAAACTTTCACTTAAAGCACAATTTAAAAAAAAAAATATATCTTTTTGGAAAAAAAAGAAATATGTACATGGATAAAGGGGGACCAGTAGAAATTATTTAGATATTCAAAAAGAATCCTACATTGACAGTTCCAAAAAAAATCAAGGCACTACCAGTTTGGAAGAAACGTTTTGTTTTAAGAAATGTAGTGATAATAAAGGAAAGGGATTAACATTCCTTTTCTGGAAGGAGTAGTGTTAACAGTGGGGTTGTTTCTTCTGGGAGAGGAATTTTTAACCAAGCGTGCTACCATTTTTAAGTAAACAACCTAAAAAGGAAAGACATTGTGATAAAAGAAGAACATACTAAGCTTTTTGTATAGTGAGATACCAAGCTGTCCCTGATTCGCTTCAGACTGAATGGACTGAAAAATGGTAGATTTTTATTTAATACAGGAAAATATTAAGCAGTGTTAACTGTTAATGGAGCTGTTAATACACAATTGTTTTTGAATACCTAAGATTTCTTTTTGACTACCTAAATGAATTATTTCCACTGGTTCGCCTTTATCCATGTACATATTTCTTGTAGGGAGAAAGTTTGAATAATAAAGCCTAGCCGGATTGGTGGGCTGAGGTATGATATTCTTATTCAAGGCTCAGTCTCTTCCTTCCATTTCCAAACAGTGGTGATCAAAAGCATTCATTCATACACTTAGTCATTTTATGTATCTTTACTGGATTCCTCCTTTTGTTCTGCTGTTACTATTGTTACTAGGTGCTGTCAGGTTGATTCCAACTTATAATGACTCTATGTGACAGAGTAGGACTGCTCCATAGGATTTCTAGGCTGTAAATCTTTAAGGAAGCAGATCACCAAGTCTTTCTCCTGCATAGCTGCTGGGTGGGTTTGAACTGCCAACCTTTCGATTAACAGCCAGGTAGTTAACTGTTAACGTTACCAGGACTCCTTACTCTGTTCTAGGCACATGTTACAGGAAGTGATGTAATCTTTTGGAGTTAATCCTAACCCTAGTGTTTAGAGATATAAACTAGACTGATGGTACACATTCAAAATACAAAATTTTCCGTGTGTAAATAAGTAAGTTTTCCTTGTTGTAAAATCTTTAAGTAGTTAAAGGGAATTATCTCAGCCATGGAGGGTTCTAACTGGATTTGCTAGCCCTGAGCTTTTAAATAGGGAGCTAAAGATCTAGCGCTAGCCACAGAGAGGATTAGTAAAGATTAAATAATATATGCTTTTAGAGTAGTCTTACTTGGGATGCATTTTTATGTCTGTTTTAATTAGCCAAGGTATGTTTTGTGGTTCATTTCTTTGGTCCACCTTAATGCTGGTGTTTGCTTATAGGTTCCGTTGTTGGATGCTGGTGACATCATTATCGATGGGGGAAATTCTGAATACAGGGATACCACAGTAAGTGTTCTTTTCTGTGATCCAAATTCTTCCAAGTTCCAAGAATATTCTAGAAAAAGTATTGGCATTGCACATGCGGCAAAGCGTGAACTGTCCTGTGGTGTTGTTGATTCTTTGGAGTTGGTTTTCTCCTACCCGTATACTTGGTGGATGCAGTACACATCAGTCACACACACATAACTTAAGAGAATGACTACTGCTTAGATACAGCAGGCTGGGAGTTTATGCTTTCCTTGTCCTTTGTCTCCCACTGACGTGTGATATATCAGTGTATAATGTGGCTAAGAACCACTGCGCTTTTGGTCTCTTACGCTTAGGGAAAGTCTCTATACACTGAAGTGCTGAAAGACAGTAAATATTACTTGTATTAAACAGACTGAAATAACTGGGTCTTATTGTACAAGACCTTTTCCAGTAAAATGAGAATATATGTCTGGCTTTCTTATTTCCCTTTGGGGACAGGGTAGGTATCTTGAATTTACATGGATTTTTTTTTTTTTTTACCTCCAGAATTTCTTGAATAATCAGGTTATTCTTGGATTCTTGGGTCATTTAATGTCAAATGTGGGATTTCTATACATCCTCTCGCTCACTGGGAGAAACTTATTTTTCGGAAGCTTAATGAAACTATTTTTCTCTCGTGTAGAGACGATGTCGAGATCTCAAGGCCAAGGGAATCTTGTTTGTGGGGAGTGGAGTTAGTGGTGGAGAGGAAGGAGCCCGGCATGGCCCATCACTCATGCCAGGAGGAAACAAAGAAGCTTGGTAAGTACCATCGGCACCACCTCCGTTTCAGCATGAGGGAGCCTGATCTTTGAGAATGAGTGAACCGTGGACAGTTCTGTCAGTGCAGTTCTCTTCTGTGGTGTGTTGAGTGTTGGGGATAGGAAATGGTGGAAATATTTCCCTTTTATTTTATCCATATATTTTGCTGCTTTGATGTAATATATGTGCATATTCTTCCTTTTGCGTTTTTTCTTCTCTGTTATTCCCTCCAAGACTGATACTAGAAGTTCTGAATTGGCTTAAGGGGTTCAGAGGCCTTAAGGAAGCAGTTCAGATGATGTCCTGAGCACTGTTTGACTTAGGAGTAAGATCTGCCTCTTTTAGCTGATTTATAGTCCTAAAATAACTGTTTTCTTAATAACTGTGAGTAAAGGAAAAATCTGGCTGAGCCTCTTTCGTCCCTGGGAACTAGGTGGAAATTTATTTGACTTAGGAATAAACAAAGGTTACACTGTTCCCTGTGCTAGATGTATATAAGAGGATGGGTTAGCCATTGAAGAAGAGGTGCTTGAGTGATGTGAAAGAAACGATATATAAGACAAGGGGGTGGGGTGAGCCGGGTGGAAAATCAGAATGGAAAGATGTAAGAAATTAATTCTATATGACTTAGTCTGAGGGAAAAGACCACTGCTGAGACTGCAGAAAAAGAGATAGATGGAACAGAAGAGAAAGAAATAGCAAAGGAAGGGTTCTTTGCGAGGGAGACATGGAAAGGTAGCATTCTTTTCTGAAGGCGTTTGATTTCAAAATATTCTAGAATTATTTTAGGCATTAAAGTACAGGAGTGATCAAGCCTAACCCTCAATTGAAGGGATTATTGAGGAAGATTATTCTTTCAATTACCTCTATGATATCTAAGTCTGGGGATTCTCTTCAGTATGTCAAAATCCAGGAGTACAGAAACCTTCCTGCTTCTCAGAAGCTTAAAAATACCTGTCTTGGGCCACCTGTTCTGTGGGCTATTAGGAATGCAGATATTATATAGGAAAATATTTCACATACAGAGGTGCTTTAATTTCTCATATTAGTTTACTTTTCTCACACTAGTCTAGCAGAAGTTGAAATGGCATTTTTACCTGAAACAGTTAAAATTCAGTGAAGTTCTAAAGCTTAAAGCCTAGTAGTCTTAACCCCCTACTCCTAAGTGTTAACTTTGTAACTCTTACTAGATTTTGTGTCTATACCAAAAACTTTTTGTTAGGCTTACATTGGTCAATAGTGAGTAGAACCAAAAGGTCAATAATGACTCTAAAGCAAAGATGAGAAGAGAAGGGGGCAGGAAAACTAGAGTATGTACTGGAAAAGGAACAACTAGAACGTGACTAAAGAGAACGTTGATGTGTGAAAAGCGTAACTGATGTCGCTGAACAGTTGGTGTAGGAATTGTCAAACGGGAACCTAATTTGCTGTGTAAACCTTCACTGAAAACACAATAAAATATTATTTAAAAAAAAAAAAAAAAGTAGACCACTAAAGAAAAAGCCTCTGGAGTTAATATGTTTTCCTAGTGGGGTGTGGGAGGGATGAAGAACATCTGCTTCTCTGAATAATAATGAATATATCTCTTGGAAATACTGCACAGTTCTGTCTGTCCTTACCCTTGACCCAACTGTCCAGAATCATGCTGTGCCTGATGACATACATCCAGGCTAATGATGAGGGTCTCTAAAGGAACTTTTGTATCGCTTGCTGTTTGGAATCACAGCTGCTTTTTTTGATTTTGCAGTGGAAATTTCTGGGGTTTTGATGATGCTTCTGCCCAGCCTTTTTGTCTGTGGTCTCAAATTAGATAGTCTGCACCCTCTCCTTTGGTGCCCACCAGAATCTGGTGAGCAGGCTGGTCAGTCGGTGCAGGATTCAAGTTTACCTAGAGGACTTGGCCTCGTTCATTATTTTTAAGTGGGTACATCTGCCTTGCGTTAGAAAGAAAAATGTGGGGGGTGGGGGAGTGCGGTGGTCCTTGAGTATTTAACTGCACTCTCAGCCCCTCTCTTCTCAGCAGCTGAACCACACTATTCTCTCCACAGGCCCCACATCAAGACAATCTTCCAAGGCATTGCAGCAAAAGTAGGAACTGGAGAACCCTGCTGTGACTGGGCAAGTTCCAGGCTACTCTTTAAAAATGTTCGGCAACACTGGCATGTCTTGAGTGACTATGGGCCCAGAGCACAAGACCACCGGGGTCCCAGCAGTCAGCTTTGTGACAAAGCTTCTCAATCTTTAAGTTGTTAGCATAGCTGATGCCTAAAATACATGCCTACTGTACCTGACTTCATGTCTTAATTGAGTTAGGGCTTGAGTGTCCACAGCCGTGGGTTGACAGTAAAAGCAGCTCTCCTCAATTCATCTTTTAAGGAACAGGAAGGATGAGGTGAAGTAAGATGTTTTTAACCACATTGCTGTATGGCGAAAGAAAGAATGTCAAAATCAAAAGTGGGCTTTGCTTCCCTGGGTGGAAGGAAGGGGATTGAATAGGCTCTTGGCTGTGTCCTGGCTGTGGATGTGGAAAAATCTGTTTCCTCATAGCTTGGGATTTAGGTATTCTCTGCTCAAATAGAATAAGCTGCAGACTTTTACCCTCGATAAATGTGAAGGAGCCCAGGATAATTCACAGGTACCTTTTACCTGCTATTTTGTGTTGCTGTTAAAATAAATTTTATCCCTATTGCAGCCTCAATCCATACCATGGATGGAAAAACCACTAGACTTGCTGAGTTCTAATTCTGGCTCTCCATTAACTAATTGTGTGACATTAGGCAAGTCATTTCCCCTCTGTGGGCTTTAGTTTCCTTATCTGTAAAATCGGTGGTTAGACTAGATGATCTCCAAGGTCCTGTTAGCTCCTGCCACCATCACCAGTTGTCGTCAGGTCAGTTCCGACTCATGACAACCTTGTGTGTGTCAGAGTAGAATTGTGCTCCCTAGGGTTTTCAATGCCTGCTTTTTGGGGAGTACATTGCCAGGCCTTTCTTCTGAGGCACCTCTGAGTGGACTTGAACCTCCCACCTTTTGGTTACCAGCTGAACGTTTTAACTGTTTACACCACCCAAGGACTCCCTTTAGCTCTTAATCCCTTTTAATTTTATATCAGCAACTTTGTATGCTGATTTTATTATTATTTTTTTTAATATGAGATAAAAGGAAGAGATAAAGCAAGGATTAAAGCATAAGGAATGAGGGAAGCCCTCCTTCCTAGGCCTGACAGTGCCTGGTGGCTTTATCTATGGCAGTTACACTGATCCTTACATTTTAGCCAGTGGTCAGCCACTGAGTTCAATCAAAATCTGCTTAGAGTGTGTAGAGTCTGGTACTGTGATTGAAAGGGTTGAGTAATTCTCTCAGAAGTATGAAGGGCTAGAAAGAGAATCCTTGTTCCTTGATAATAAATTATTATAGTAAAAGTGCAGCAACTTTCTCCTTTTAGATACACTTAGGACAAAGTCAAGGAGCCCTGGTGGCACAGTGGTTAAGAGCTCAGCTGCTAACCAAAAGATTGGTGGTTTGAACCCAACCAGCAGCTCCGCAGGAAGAAGATGTGGCAATCTGCTTCCATAAAGATTACAGTCTAGGAAACTCTATGGGGCAGTTCTACTCTGTCACACGAGGTTACTATGAGTCAAAATCGACTGGACGGCACCTAACAACACTAACTAGACAAAGTAATGAAGAAAGAAAACAGTGCACGCACTTTCATATCTTGATCGAGTCAGGGGTGGAATTTGTAAAGTCTCAAGGCTTATTCTCAAATCATTTAAAAAAACAGTATAGGTACTAACAGCAGGTACTCCTTAGGTAACTTTTGAAGCAAAGAGGAAGAGTGAGGTGAAGTAAGATGTCATTAGCCATGTTTGTTCATGGCCAAAGAAAGTGTCAAAACCAGAAGGAGGTAGGTCAGCAATGGAAACAGAAAAAGGGAGTCTCTGATGTAACTGCTGATAGTATCAGTCTAAGCAGTGACTGCCAGGAGAGGGACCGCCCAGGTCAGCCAGGCATCTGGCTGTCTGGGCAGGTGTATCCCTGTCGTGGAGATGGATGCATGTGATTGCACAGCCTGCTGCCATTAAATATCTGACCCTCAGCTCTCTTTGTTCTGATTCATTGCCCACTAAATAATGTTCAGATAATTTGGCTTCTCAAGTAGCTTGTGAATAGGGACAGAATATGTTGATCAGACTAATGCTTGTAACTACTAAGATCCATAGTTAAATTTCCCATCATAGGTTCATAAATTGCTATTCAGATTTTATGTATCTTGCAAGCTTTTCTATTACAAATTACTATCAACTGCAGGGCCCTGGCAAGAACACATTTTTGGGTTTACAAGGTTGAAGGCCAGGCCTTGGATCCAAGGTGATTTGACGTCTCAGTAACCATTAAAAACAACTACAATGCATTTATATATTTTTAAAAAGTATAATGATTTAATTAGGCAATGTATTCTAATGTCCATTTGCTCGAAAAGTGGTAACTTCAGGAAAAAGAAGACTTCTTTTACCTATGGGTAGGAGCTAGAAAGTGGGGAGTTACTTTTAATAATGAGAAGGAATGGAAAATTGAGGCTACAGAGCTACAAGTACTTACAGTGAATTTTGGGATTTTGAAAAATCTTCTGGGGAATTATTCTGGAGCTAGTTTAAAATAACATTGTACTGGACTGAGGCTTGTGGTGAATTGTTATATAATGATTCTTGTTTCAAAAATACTATGAGTATTTGCCTTGTCCTTGTTGTTTTTTGTATGGGGAGGGAGTCTTGCCAAGGAATTTGACCTCAAGACTGATGTGACTTTTCTGGTACACTGTCTGCCTTGTCCCACTGGCAGGTGGGAGATGAGGGAGCAGGACACTTTGTGAAGATGGTACACAATGGGATTGAGTATGGCGATATGCAGCTCATCTGTGAAGCTTACCATTTGATGAAAGACGTTCTGGGCATGGACCACAACGAGATGGCAGAGGTGAGTGCCCAGCACTGCCCCATGCTGAGTGTGTAATCACCTCTAAGACCAGAAGGGATTTGCTCATGACAGTAAATCCTTCCTCATTCCACTTCTCCTGGCCATTCTGATGGCCTGGATGGATTCAGCCTAATCTAAGGGAAGCTGTCAGTAATAGGACTATAAAATAAGATAGCTAGTCACTAAGAAGAACTTTCTTAAAGAATCCAGATGGTAATCATTACCGCCATTTAGTGAGCCCTGACTGTATCAAGTCTGTGTCACCTGACACATTGTGTCACTCAGCCCTACCATTGTCCTGTGCGGAAGGTACAGCAGAAGCATTCTTTTCTCATCATGTTGGGACTGGCTTTTTGAGTTAATCAAAAAAGATAGTCAAGGTAGGGAAGCATAAAGCAGACCTTAAAACATTTCCCCCAACATTTTATTATGAAATTTTCCACACATATCACAGCAAAGTTGTAAGAATTTTACAGCGAGCATGTGCATACCCACCACATAGATTCTACCATTTACTAGTCTTGCTTTGCCTCATATCTGTCCGTCCCTCTTTTTTGATACATTCAAAGTAACTACAGATGTCTGTACTTCCTTTTTAAATACATCTGCACTGTTAACTAGATAACCATTTTAATTTAAAACATAGAAAGTTACGTTCATTCATCCATCACTGTCTGTAGGACCAAGGCCTCCTCTTTAAGTATGGTTCTGCTATTTAGCATTCCAGTAATTTTTCTTGTCATCTAGCATTTCCAGTTTCAGTTATTTCAGGTGAACACAGTTGAAAGACACTTGGAAGGCACTAAATGCAAAATCCTTCCAGTCAAAAGTTTCTTCTCCTGAATTTTAATTCATCTCATCCCCACTTATTTATGACTGCAGTTTGTTTCACTCACTTGCCACTATCTTTCTTTCCAAAACATTCAGCTTTCATAGAAATGGTGCTTGCTTTTTGTGTTCATATTTAATTGACTTATGTAATATTTAATATATTAATGCAACAAATATATGAGTGCTTCACTATGTGCTGGATACTGTGATAAATGGGATATAACAGTGAAGAAAACAAAGTTGCTGTCCTCATGGAGCTAGGAAGACAGACAATAATAATGAGACGTATCATATAGTATTAGGTAGTGGTAACTATTATAAAGAAAAGTAAACCAGGGTGAGGGGTTGATTTGAGATGGGGTGATCTGGGAAGCCCTCTGAAGAGGTAACAATGAACAGAGACCTAAATGAAGTGAAGGAGCACTTGGCTCAAAGGAAAGAAGTTCTGTTCTAAGAAAATCAGCATAACCAGATTGAGGCCAAACACGGTTGATTCTGGGTTAGCATAAACTCAAGTGGTGGGAGCAGAAGTGTACAGGCATACTTGAGAAGAGCCTGTTCGCCTCTAGTGTTCAGCACATTGTGAGCACTGGTCAGCATTTACAAAGGATAAGGATGAATCCATTAAGTAGAGGTCAGTTAGGGGAGTCCTGTGTAATCCTTGTTTCTCTTGCATTGTTTTCTTTATGTCCTGCACATAGGCATTTGAGGAGTGGAATAAGACAGAGCTAGACTCATTCCTGATTGAAATCACAGCCAGTATCCTCAAGTTCCGAGATACCGATGGCAAACACCTGCTGCCAAAGATCAGGGACAGTGCAGGGCAGAAGGGCACTGGCAAGTGGACGGCTATCTCAGCCCTGGAGTACGGTGTTCCTGTCACCCTTATTGGTAACGTTCAGCTTTTCAAAAAATCACTCTTGCCCCACTGTTCTGATCTTGATGTCCTTTTGAAATATTGGTAAAGACTGGCAAGTAAGAAGCAGGTCTTTTAGAGCCTCTGTTCAGCTGTAGTCCGCTTTCAGAGTGTTTTCTGCTATTTCTGCATATGAGAAAACTGACAGTATGAGAGGCTGGAACTGCTTTTGAATTGCTTCTTTATAATCCTTCTCTGATTTCTATGAGCTTTGAGACAACAAATTTATATGAGCTTTCTTTCTTATCTGACTTTACCTTTGGAGTAGTTTTGCATTAGTAATTGCGATGAACGACCTAAGATCTTTTTAATGGAAAAGGGTAACTAATGAATTTTTCATCGAAAAGTTTATAGAATAACATAACATACTCTCAGAATTTGTTAATATTTTCCTGGGGTTTTTTTTCTTAGATTATTGAAAAGCTAAAACATGACCTCTACATTTGAAGTCCTTTAATACTCTTCCTCAGTTCCCTCTTCCTGTCCCCTCAGAAGAAAACCGCTGTCCTGAAGTTTGTGTACATTCTTCCATCCATGTTTTTATATCTTAGTAATGAGCTAAGCATCAAATTCAAAAAGATACAGAAAATAAATAATAAAAAGCAAATATAAATAGAAAAGAAAGAAGTAATAAAAGAGAATTAACAAAACCAATAGCTGGTTCTTTAAGAATAAAATACATACACTTCTGGCAAGATTGAAAAAGAATGAAAAAAGAAGCCCAGCATGTAATGAAAGGTTATCTTTGCTTCTGGCAGAATGTTTCCCCGTGTAATAAAACATTTCCTTATTTGCTGTTCCAGCTATAAATTGCCTTTCCCTCCCTAGTTCCCTCCCGTGTTTTGATTTCCTGAGTAATTATGCCTCATTCTATTTACAGTGAACTGTGGTTGTAAGGCACAGTGAGGGGGGAAGTAGGGTATATAGTCCAGCTCTACACAGAAGGAAGTTGGCTGCTTTCTAGCTAATTCCAGCGATACCATGGGCAGGGTGGAAGGGCAATAGCTGGGAACAGTTTATTCATCGTTGATCTGAACTTATGAGAGTATTACAGCCTCAAAAAGAACTCTCTCAACCTGTTTTAGAGACTTTGTTCCCTTCCTATAAATTGAAGGCGGGTTAGACTTAATCTCTGGATGAGTGCCATTTTTGTTTGCCAAACTAATGGGGAAGTGAGGCTTCTAGCTAACCCTTACGTAACCCTGAAGGGTTTTACCACATTTGCCTCATTGCCTCAGTTGTCTTACAAAGCTTCCTTCCACAGTTTGCTAAGTCATCATGTGTGTGCACTGCAGGGGAGAAAAATATTGGGCAAGGATAGAAAGACATCTGCTTTTGGTGTGATTCAAGTTTGGTTAGTGTTCTTGGTTAGTATCCTTTCCTCAAAAATAAAGTCCCCCATTAGCGCCCAGAGATTTTACTTCTGGGAGATTTTATCTGTAATGGGAAAAATGGTTAAAGAGTAATTTTTTCTAATTATGTAGATTGTCAGTTGAGCAACTGGTCTTTTATAGGGGATAATTTTTGAAGACACTAAATGTCTTTGATATTAAAATACTGAAAGTTTTTTATTCAAATGAATTAAAATTGTGAAACTTCAATGTGATTATGGATATAATGGACCCCTGGTGGTGCAGTGGTTAAGAGCTCAGCTGCTAATCAAAAGGTTGGCAGTTTGAATCCACCAGCTGCTCCTTGGAAATCCTATGGGGCAGTTTTACTCTGTCCTGTAGAGTTGCTATGAGTCAGAATTGACTTGACAGCAATGGGATGGATATGATGAAAATTATAAAATGTAAGATTTCTAAAACGGAGTTTTTTGGGCGGTGAGTCTGTGTGACTTCCTCAATATATTAATTGTTTCAGAATTGATGAGTAGTAGGTGCCTCAAAAGATTCTTTGGTGAACATTTAAAAATTAAAGTCCTCTAAGTTGAAAGGGAGATTTTACTTATAGACCAACACTGAGTAAAATCGTGTTTTTTTGTGTTTTTTTTATACCCCTTTTTCCCTCAGAACTCTTACATTGATCTTTGTGGTTGAGTATCTCTATTTATGTTAGAAGATTGACTGGAGTTTTAGTTGTCAAATTGTTAAGTGCTTTCTATAAAAGCTCTTTCTGATCCAGGTTAAATTTTTGTGGTCTAAGGTTGGTTGAGACTTTCAGTTCTTTGGAAAATGAAATTCCTGCTCCAGCTCTATTTTTCCACATCTTCTGGGCTTTCCAATCTCTTTCCTCTGGTTTTATGCGTGAGTTTTGCTAATATATTGCTTTTCCTCCCCAATCCCTCTATGTAGGAGAAGCTGTCTTTGCTCGATGCTTATCATCGCTGAAGGATGAAAGGATACAAGCTAGCAAAAAGCTGAAGGGTCCGCAAAAGATCCAGTTTGAAGGAGATAAGAAGTCATTCCTGGAGGACATTCGGAAGGTGGCTCATAGTTCCTGGCAGTAATCTTTTTTGGTCCTTGGAAGGTAGTGGGAGGTAGGGGCTACTGGTGAGAACACACTGAAGCTACAGGTGGCAGATGGAATAGTCCAGCCTTCACCTTTGAGCCTGATTTACAGCTTTTCCTATTCTGTTGTCTTTTCTAGGGTCTGCACAGTAGACGTGAGGTGGTTCCTCTGCTCACTGCAATTCTAATAAGTCTTGTGTCATTCTTTAGGCCCTCTATGCTTCCAAGATCATCTCTTATGCTCAAGGCTTCATGCTGCTACGACAGGCAGCCACCGAATTTGGCTGGACCCTCAACTATGGTGGCATTGCCCTTATGTGGAGGGGCGGTTGCATCATCAGAAGGCAAGTGGGAGGCAGCTGTGGGACTAACGGGCAGGACACTCCAGCCCCACCTAACTAGTGGCCTGCTTGTGCAGACCTGTGATCTGAGGCACTTGCTTGAACAGTTGCCCTGTAACTGGTGCAGTTAGCCCTGTCACTGGAAAACTGGCAACAAGGCAGGTTTAGATTGTCACTTCTCACTTTTTTTCTGTACATTAGTGGCTCTCACTAGATTATCTGTACTGCACCTTTTGGCATTGACCTTAAAGCTAGCTTAAGGGATGAGAAATGTAACTTTATACCTCTCTAGGGTGTATTTCACCTTCCAACGTATTTTCCCCATTTCCTGCCTGGTATTCAACTTGATATAGTTAAAATTCATTGACTTTCTCCCTCTTGATTATTTCAGTGTATTCCTAGGGAAGATAAAGGATGCATTTGATCGAAACCCAGAACTTCAGAATCTACTGCTAGATGACTTCTTTAAGTCTGCTGTTGAAAACTGCCAGGTATGTGGCCTAGAGCTGGGTAGTATGTGAATTCTTTCTCATTGAGTTTTGAACTAGGGGTATCTGTTTTTCATTTACCAGCATTGGCACAAATGGAAATATGTCATTTAGAATTGAACCAGTTAATGTGTTCTCTGTGGGAATCACTCATCTTTAGTTTGGTTTTGTTGCCCAGGACTCCTGGCGGCGGGCTGTCAGTACAGGTGTCCAGACAGGCATCCCCATGCCCTGCTTCACCACTGCGCTTTCCTTCTATGATGGGTACAGACATGAAATGCTGCCAGCCAACCTAATTCAGGTAAACTTCTTAAGTAGCTGGTAAACATTAGCCTGGCTGGTACCTGAGGGTTGTGTGCCTACATATTTATCCTAACCAATCTATTTCTTGTCTTCTAGGCTCAGCGGGATTATTTTGGGGCTCACACCTATGAACTCTTAGCCAAACCGGGACAGTTCATCCACACTAATTGGACAGGCCATGGTGGCAGTGTGTCATCCTCTTCATACAATGCCTAACTGGACTGTTTGTTACCCACCACAATTCCATAAACCAGGACATTCCATTCGCCACACAACACTGCTTACGTGGCCCTTTGCCCTACTCTCTGCTCAGTTCTTAATAAAGTGCTGTCAGAGACTCCTCTGAAAGAGTCAAATAGTTTATATGTAAAGTAGTTCTTGAGAACTATCATGCCCTCTGCCCTTGCCTCTTGGGGCTGTCCAGGAACTGATCATGTGCGTGACAGCTGTGAGGCAGCTCCTTGAAGTGGTCATTTCCACATGCTCTCTGTGGACTAGTGAGCCCTGTAAGTCGCCCTGGTGGGGGCAGCAGCTCTCATCTCACAGACGGGAAGGGTTTTAGGGAATTTGATTAAACTGCAACCTTTGTATCATGCAGCTGAATTGTCTTCCCTCTACTTAATAAAAGCTACATCATATTTATGCTTTTTATCCAGACTCTTCAATATTTTCATGTCAATGACACTGAGCTGTTACTATTTCCATTAGCAGAAAGATTTGCAACCAGTTTTGTTATATTTGAATCAATTTGTTTCCTCCAGCCTTGTTAAATTTTCCTCTTTGTTAAAAAAAACATTCAGGATAATATAAGAAACATCAAATTTAGGGTAATGATTAACTCTGGGAGAAAGATGAGGATACAGAAGGGACTCTGATGTACCGGTTACGTTTTATTTCCTAAGCTGAGTAATGGGTATGTGGATGCCCACTGTAACATTTTTTATTCCTTTTTGTATGTCAAATATTTCATAATAAACTTTTTAGAGAATCACATTTAAATGATGGGCTAAGCTTGGTGTAAATTGTTGCTTTTCCCATGCCTATCTCTCTATTTGTCCCCAAGTCAGGCCCCCAGATTTGGTGTGGGGTTTTAGCAACCTCGCCTGATCCTTGACCTGCCAGCATTCTGATAATTGTCAGATGGCCTGGGGACAGTGTAACTGTTTTACTCTTTATCAGTTTAACTCCAAGATGATTTTCTTGAAGTGCTTCAGAAAAGTCCTAAAAGTGGCTTAAGAAGAGAGAGCAAACAGCTTCCTTGTTTCAACAGCTGGTGGTGTATAACTTGATCTCTGACCTCTGTCTCAGAACACAGCAGGGGCAGAGCTGACATGGAAGAGACAAACCTTTTCATTAAATGATCAACTTTTAACTCAGCCTAGAGATGAGTACTTAGCTAAACCTGGCCCCACACTTCTCTACTTGCCCTCCCACCCAGACATGCAAATTTAAGAAGCACTTGAGTCACTGCTTATGAAGGATTTTTTTTTTAAGGGTTGTGAACTAACAAGTGTGGTATTTCTTGAAGTGTGATCTAGAGACCACTTGTTCTTAGGCAGATGTGTGCTCCTAGAATAGAGAGTGGTCTTTTGTTGTTATTTAATAACCAAAGAGGAACAATATTGAGAGATTTGAGACTAAATGTCAAAAACCACACCCACTGCTGTCAAGTCGATTTCGACTCATAGCAACCCTATGGGACAGAACTGCCCTGGTGCGTTTCTAAGGCTGTAATCTTTACAGAAGCAGACTGCCACATCTTTTCTCCTGTGGAGCAGCTGGTGGATTCGAACCAGTGATCTTTCAGTTAGCAGTTGAGGGCTTAAAATGAACTGGATTGCCCAAAAGAGGGTCTGACATACTAACAATACCTTTCAGGAAGCTATGTGCACAGTGGTGGTTGGTTTCAAATCCAGGCTCCTCTACTTACTGTATGACTTTGAGCAGATTATTTAATATCTCTGGTCTCAGTTTTCTTGTTTGTAAAATGCAGATGATAATAGTACCTACCTTCTTAAGACTATTTTGAGGATTCACTAAGTAAAATTAGAACAGTGCGTGGCATATATTAAGCACTATGTGTTGTTAGATGCCATCAAGTCAATTCAGACTGACAGTGACCCTATGTACAACAGAACGAAACATTACCCAGTCCTGCACTGTCATGGATTATGTCCCCCCAAAATTGCGCATATCAATTTGGCTGGGCCATGATTCCAGGTATTGTGTGATTTTCCTGTATGTTGTAAATCCTGCCTCTATGATGTTAATGAGGGAGGATGGGTGGCAGTTGTATTAGTAAGGCAGGACTCAATCTACAAGATTAGATTGTGTCCTGAGGCAATCTCTTGAAATATAAAAGAGAGAAGCGAGCAGAGAGACGGGGACCTCATACCACCAATAAAGCAGTGCCGGGAGCAGAGCGCATCCTTTGGATCTGGGGTCCCTATGTGGAGAAGTTCCTAGTCTGAGGGAACATTGATGAGAAGTGAGAAGGCCAGCAGTGAGAGAGAAAATGCCTTCCCCTGGAGCTGATGCCCTGAATTTGGACTTTTAGCCTACTTTACTGTGAAGAAATAAATTTTTCTTTGTTAAAGCCATTCACTTGTGGCATTTCTGTTACAGCAGCACTAGATGACTAAGACAGGTGCCATCCCCACAATCGTTGTTATGCGTGGGCCTGTTGTTGCAGCCGCTGTATCAATCCATCTTGTTGAGGGTCTTCCTCTTTTTCGCTGACGCTCTACTTTACCAAGCATGATGTCCTTCTCCAGGGACTGATCCCTCCTGATAACGTCCGAAGTATGTGAGACAGTCTCGCCAACCTTGCTTCTAAGGAGAATTCTGGTTGTACTTCTTCTGAAACAGATTTGTTGTCTTCCTCCAGAAAATTTCTTGATTCTTTGTTTTGGGAGCTTGCTGAAGCCATCATGGTCTGCCTCTTTATGTGATTGATGTTGACTGTTGTCTCCAAGCCATCAGTAAGTTATTATATTTGTTTGCTTACTGTGTTCTAGCTTCTTCTTTTCTTTTGTTTTGATATGCCCAAATAGGCTGCTCATGTGAGCTAGTTTGATTATTGGCGCCTTTGAAGCTCTAATGTTCTGCCACCAGGTCCTTAGATCTGTTACTCTGTATGTGAGCCCAGAAGTCTGTTTACATTTCTTGTATGGATTCAGCTCAGGTGTCCAGGTAGTCTGTCACCAAGTGTGTGGTGCAGGTTTTCACCTACAGTCCTAGATGGGCAGGGGTGACTGAAGTAGACACAGGTATCTGACTGCAGTAAGGGGGTCACATGCTGAGCAAGGCAGGGGGCTGACGGCTGCCCGAGTGTCTGGGAGGAAAGCGTGGCCCTGTTCCCTAGAATACGTAGGTTGGTGGGTTTTGCAGCCAGACTGTGGGTACCCAATGTTGTTGGCTGTAAAAACTGGAAGGCACCACTTATTCTTGGACCCATCTCAGGTGGCTAGGTGGCGTGGGTAGAGCCACCAGTCCTCAGGCCTCTGATGTTGGGTAGGTGAGGACCCTGCTTAATGGGCAGAGTCAAATGTCACGAACCTGCCACTTCATCATATAGCTGATACAAGTGAAGTCAGGCTTCAGATATATACCCTGTTGTACTGTGGTAATGAGGGCCTGTGCTGTTGAAATGGGCCCACACAGGCCTATGCAGGGGTAAAAGGCATTCAAAGTCTGTGGACTCTTTATGCCTGCGCCTAGGCAGAGGAGCTGTGCCCACCCTGAGTTCCTGGCTTAGGCAAGCCGGCAGATTATTTTTAAACTATATCAGTAAACGCTGTTTGCTTTCGCAAAGTAGCCTAGCCTGTGGTTAGGAGCCTGGCTTTGGAGCCACTCTGCCAGGGCTCCGGTCTTAGCTCCACCACTAATTTACTATGTTACTTCATAAAATACTTAAATCTGTATGTCTGCATTTTCTCATCAAAGGATGATAACAGTACCCACCTCCCAGAGCTGTTTTGAGGATTAAATGTAAAGCACTAGGGAAATAAAAAGCCTGCCAGAGTAGGCAGTGTTGTATTTTACCTGAACCCTGTGATACTGGAAAACAGAGATGGTTAAAGAAATCCCCCACCATTTGTGTTCAGTAAAATGGCTCACTACAAATAACCACCCTCCCCTTATGACTCAGATGAGCCTCACTGATGGATGCCCCCTTGTTTACCTATGATAAGGCCAGGCACCAAAACCAAACCCAAGCCATCGAGTTGATTCTAACTCAAAGCGACCCTGCAGGACAGAGTAGAACTGCCCCATAGGGTTCCAAGGCTGTAATCCTTACAGAAGCAGAGTGCCACTTCTTTCTCCCAGAGCAGCTAGTGGGTTCGAACTGCCAACCTTTTGGTGAGTAGCTGAGCACTTATACAGAACCTCCAAATTTCCTTACCTCATAAAAGAGTAAAGATTTATTGTCCTAACTGATAAATCAGAAACAGAGTTTATTAACCAAAACTTTGGTTAAGCTTCTTTCCTCCTTGCAAGTCTCTGAACTTCTGCCCTTCAGCCCGAGCCCCTTCCAGGGAATAGGCTGGCCTCAGTGTAAAGCATTCTGATTTACTATCCCATGATGTCACTCTTTCATCTCACTTCTCCACACCTGGGCTTTTCCTAGCCTTGTTTACTCGCAGTCTCAATAAAACAAAATGCTTTTTCCCTAACTCTTTGAGTCACTTTCAGAGCTTCTGGTTGGAGTGTTCATTGTAGCAGTCCCCCTCCCCCACTATTACAATAGTCCTTTTCCCCTTTTCTGTCTGAATAAAGCCTCTCCTATCAAAGTCTGGATTTGTTTTTCATTTGACAGCACTATTTAAGGGTTTACTGTTTATTACCTACCTTCTGCTGAAGTTGAGGTAGTCAGCAATTCTGGGCATGGATGGAGGTGAACACGGGGGGGTTAGCCTCCCATCAGCTCCTCCCTGCCCAGCCAGACTACTGTGGGAACCATCAGTGGCTAGTCCAGCAGAAGGCTTCCCTCCAGCAGAAACTGTGGGCCTATTATGATGTCAGCCACAACTTCTTTCTGCTTTATCTGGGACACAAAAAGATTATTTATAAAGACATACATGTTACAAATAGTAATGTGCTTGACTCCTAACCTAAAGGTTGGAAGTTTGAACTCACCCAGCTGCGCCACAGAAGAAAGCCTGGTGATCTGCTTCGGTAAAGATTACAGACTAGAAAACCCTATGGAACAGTTCTACTCTGTATCACATGGGATTGCCATAAGTCAGAATCGACTTTATGGCAACGGGTTTGGTTTTGTTCTATATATCAAAAAAGAAAGCAGAAAGGATTTCTAAGCAAAGAGACTTTAAGGGTTGTGAACTATGAAGTGCTGTGTTTCTCAAAGGGTGATCTGTAGACCACTTGACTTCACCACTAATTCACTATGTTACATGGTCTTCTTCAAGGCAGATGTGGAGCCCATCTTTTTAGAGCAGTCAAGAGACATTCAACATACTATATTTAGTAGAAAGAGCCCTGCTGGTGCAATAGTCAAGCGCTTGGCTGCTAACTGAAAGGTCGGCTGTTTGAACCCACCTGGCAGTTCTGCAGGAGAAAGACCTGGCAATCTACTTCCATAAAGATTATAGCCAAGAAAACCCAGTGGGAGAGTTCCACTCTCACATGGGGTTGCTATGAGTTGGAATCCACTCAATGTCATCCAATAACATGTTTCGTATATACAGTAAAACCTGTGAGAGCCAGAACTGGAGGGACCACCTTGTTTTTCTGGGTCTCATAAGTTTTCCAGATTTGACAGGGTACAGTCTTACCATTTTTCTATTGCTTGTTTTAGTAGAAAATGTTTGAGTTTTCCTTCTTGGACACAGTTCCACCTTATACAGTTTCTGACTTTTGCAGGTTTTCCTTATATATGTAATCACTTAATAACTAGAACAGCATATAAAATTAATTGTGGTCATTTATTAATCTTATGTGCTGTTCCAGTTGGTTTGTATAACAAACCACCC